CCCAGATTTTCTGTAGATACGGATATCCTATATTTACGGATATATCGTCCTCTTTCATATTAAATATTATTTTTATGCGTCAATCATTCGGCAAGGGATCAACATAAATATTAATTCATGCAAAGACCGATATATAGGCCTTATGACCTTACTTTATTGAGATTGGTAAAGTTAGAAGTTGGCTCATTTATTATTAGCATATATAATATTCCAAGTGAAACTTTATGAATTATGATAAAATAAGGTCAAAAGGCTGATATGTCGGTCTTTGCTAATAAATATTATCATTCATAATATAAAAATTATATTCAAAGTATGAACCTAGATAAAATCGTTAGACTTTATTTCACCATTTAGAATATTGGTATAAAGCTCAAATTTTGGGTTAGAAGAATAAAAAAAAAAATGTGTTTGTATGGAAATGTGGATTTTAGAATATTGGTATCGGCTGAAATGTGTATATAGATCTAGACCTGAATGATAGATTGATACTTTCAATCAGTAATTACGAGAATTTTCTATACGACGTTGTTTGGAATCAGACATATAGGAACGAAAGGCTGATATCCCGATGCGTAGATGGTCTATTTATTCTTTTATTTAGCAGTAAGTAGGGTATTCCATGTGAAACTGTACGAACCTTGATGAAAAGAGAAATAAAGACCGATTATCGATATTGGCCAAAATTTCGATATGGGTCGATCTCTGAAAGTCATCTATGTTTTCCTCAAACTTCCAATTATGATTATGGTTGAATTTCTACCACTGAGCAAACATTAGTTATATTAAACAAAATATGTATTAAATGATAAATATGCCTCTTATGATTTTTTCAAGGTCCTTAATGGTGAATTTGGCTTTAAGTTTTTATGTTTATCGGCTACTGCACTATACTATCAGCTGGCCTTTTTGTACAGTCTGCTATCGTATCAGTCTTAGAAAGAGGACTGTTATTTTTTTCTAGAAGAAGAAATAATGCAGTCGGTCTGCATCGTTCTTAATTGTTATGATTTATTGTTATGTCGAGTAACTTTTATAAAAAATTAATTTCCTGCGAAAGAAATACGAAATATTGAGATTTAAATTTGTATTGTCACTAAATCTAGAATGAATTTTATTCTTTCAAAATTCTGTGATCATAAACAACGTTATAACTTCCATGGAATAGTTTGAGCCATAAGTCACAGGCGCACCGGCTCAAATGGGGCATAATGCCGAGAGGCAAACAAAAACTAAATTAACATAATTTACAATTATGTTAATTTCAACATCACGAGACAGAAACAAAATAGAGAAATGTGTTCCTGTTATTTTTAAAAACGATAACAGTATAATCGTTGGGGAAATACGATTGCTTCAAACGCATTAAAACATCATAGTTGAACGCTAAGTGTTTATTTTATATTATTTATGTTTTACTTATATTTAAAAAAACCAATATATAATTATATACATAAATTTATTTTTATATATAGGATTATATTGTTCGTATTACAATACTTATGTTAATTATCACTCATATTACTATAATATAAACTTTCGAGACATTTTTTGGGGAATTATATCGTCTCCCCTCTCCCCACTATTCTGATAGTGGGGAGAGGGAAGACGATATATAATGGAAAGTCTACGCCTATGATTTTAGACCACCAAAATAACGATGATTATGCAAAGTGCAGTAAATTGAAATGTGAGATGAAAAATTTAAAAAACTCGAATTGATTACTTCAGTCCCTTATTCTCTGTTTTATGAGTCAATAAAGGAGGCTCGACTCGTTAAGAAATACAAGGTCATATTTTTTTTCTATTAACAATCACAAACTTTCCAAAAAATCGCCGATAGATTCTTGATATTTCAAAGAGCATTTTAGGTATCTGATGTGCCTTGAAGTATTCTTGACATCCCATGTTCTACACCAGGGGTAGTGTTGCCCAAATGCGAGACCGAGACTAGTCTTAGTCTTGCAAACTCAGTCTTGGTCTTGGTTTTGCGCAAGACTCTCGCATCAGTCTTGCAGTTACTTATTAGCTTATTACCATAGAGATATTACTATAATTTTTTAGATAGGAGAAAACTAACTAAGCCCGAATGAAAAATTAGAGGAGTTAAATGACAAATTATATTGGTTATACCAATTATTTACTTTTGTTAACTAAGATTGTCAAGTATTAGTTACTATTTTGACTTAATTTTTATTTAAAAAATCGATTTTTTTTACCAGTCCTTATCTTGGTCTTGCAATAGTGATACTGCCTTGGTCTTGGTCTTGCAAAGTGCAAGACCAAGACCAATTTTGGGCAACACTAACCGGGTACCTCATTGAGACCTCGGCTAATTGGCGCGGGCCCATGGCTTGTGATGAAAAAAAAAATCTTGTAAATGACCCTTCAGCTGTGTAATAAATGTTGTAGTAACCTCGTGTATGAGTAATTTGCTAAAGTTAATATTTTTAAATAGTTTTTGAAATTTTACCATGTAATCCAAGAAGCTTTCGCGGACGGTAGTTGGGAGACTCCTGTTCTACACCATCCATGTTCTAGATGGGAACACGAAGTGGAAGTGGAGCAGTGGAAATTTGGTTACCTTACCTTGTTATTATTACCTGCCAATCTTGGTTTAGGTATTGATATGCTTAATTTGTTTTGTGACAGGTGTACTGGGCAAAAACTATAACTCTTTAATTGTGGCTTGATGTTACAGGATTGAAATTTAATTTTACAAAAAAAGACGTCTTCCTGTATATTCCATTTGTTTTTCACTTTTGCACAACCGGTTTCGGTATTTTATCAGACCTTCATCAGGCCAACAGATGGTGGTCCTCCTCTCCTGCTTGTCAAATGAGGACTACGTTGTCAAATAGGTGTCAGACCTGATGAAGGTCTGATAAAAGATCAAAACCGGTTGCGCAAAAGTGAAAAATAAATGGAATATTCAGGAAGGCAACGTCTTTTCTTGTAAAATTAATAACTATAACGATTTTAATGTGAAAATTTAGTTATTCTGTGCAGGGCAGCCCATTCTCCCCCTCCCCCAATTTCGCATGAACCTCCTCCCTCTTCTCTCCAAGATATTTTATTGCTCTCGTATTCTTAAAAACAGTGCAAGCGAAAGTAGAATTAAATTTAAGTAAATTAAATACAATTACACTTTTTGGGGAGGGGGTCCTCCCCTTCCTCGCCGTTAAGGTTATACGGGGTTTTCCCGGGCCAGGGAGTGTGGGCCGGGATTTAAAAGACTCCCCTGATTGATATATCAGGTTGCCGGGCTACGGCGGTGCTGTGCACACGCCTTAGCCCATTCGGCTACCCCGCCCACATACAATTACACTTGCTGAGGTTTGTTCCATGTATTCTCTTAGTCCCCTTATTTGAAACTTTTCAATCCGACAATAAATAACTCCGTCGAAATGTGCCCCCTCAAAAATTCAAAATCCCGTAAAAATGTGTTCACCTCAAAAATTATGATGGCGCTACTTGCGCCATGAAACCCCTGTGTCGGCAACCCAGATGCCGTGCTGTTGAGGGATAATAATTGTGATTAATAGTTAGTTAGGCATAGATAATTACAAACTTAACTAAATGAAAGTTATGTTATGACTTTGTCACGAGTGGAATTCGTAACTGTTCATTAAAAATGTCAATAATCATAACTTTGGCTGCATTGTTCCTGATTCAGAGCCCCAGAGGAAAAAGTAATTAGGCAGTTTAAAAAAAAAAAATTTAATTTCGAAGGTTTATTATTAAATTTATGTTAGATATCTCAATTTTTTTTCAAAATTGCCCAAAATAATCAATATGGATTTAATAAGTTTTATAACAATCATATTTCTTTCAATTGGGAGTATTTAAATGGAAAATTACATTTATATTCCTGTATTTTGTGGGATGATTTTCAGTATTTGATACATGTTCTTGTTTATTTCCGAGCTAATGAAAATATTCTCCGCTATATAACAATAAATATAATCCGTATAGAACGATTTGTTATATCCCGAGTTATAAAAGTATTTCCTTCAAGTTTATTCAACAGGATACGTTTATTTAATTCAGGATTATGCTTACATCTTATCAAATTGTAAATAACTTGTCGATTATAATGACGTGGTGGAACATTCACCTGACTATTTTTATTTTCCATTTCTGACCCTTTTCACGAAAAACGGATTTGTATAATTATTTATTCCAAATCACAAGCATACAATATGTATGTGTAAAATACAGCTCTAATTAAAAATCACAGCCTTATTTTTTGAAATAATGCCACCTATACAGACAGCAAAAACCAGAAGAAGTCGAGGAATCTCATTATATGTAAACATCCGAGTATAGTCGCATATAGGAGGAAAAAAACTTGCTGAAATCACTATCCTTCTGCAACAGCTATATTCTTTGGTTTAAATTTTACCTTTACGGTAGGATGCTAGCTGTTACCATTCCAAATCAATCCCAATTTCCTTCTTTATCCTATCCTCTGGAGAAACTCAGGGTTCAAGTATTATTCCTCCTCTCGTTTTAAATTCCTGTTTCAATAGATCATTGCTCTTACCATCAATTTCCTGAAGATCCCCTTTTATATATATATTCAATTGTGGGTTGATGGTTGACTGTAGTGAATAATTGAAGAGAAGAATGGTTGGGATGATTAGTAAAAAAAAATATATATATATATATTTATTTTTATTAGCGTTTCGTTCCATAGTTCAGGACTGGTCCAAGGAAAGGATTCCGCTAGACCAATATGTATATATTTAATATAGACCAATATATATTTTCCTACTTCTGAATCATTAATAGTGTTTGCCAATTCAGGATGATCTTGAGAGTATCAGCATTCTTCGTACATCTACATTTTGTACAATTCAACTCCTCTCCTCTAATAGATCTCTTTATCAGATCCTATGTTTCTGCATCTAATACTCCTTACCACAGAACTGAAACCTTTGAAGGTTGATTCATATCCTTAACTTTTGTAATTTAATAGCATTTTTCTTTATTTTCAGGTGGATAAAGATGTGGCCACCATGATTCCGAAAGGCATAGCCAATTTTTTCCAACAGATTGCTACAATACCTGAAGGCAAATGTAATTATTTTATCTTATTATTAATAATTAATTATACAGATGAACAATAATATTCATAATAAATGATAGTTTACTATTATATAATTTTTTATTTGTTTATTTAGAAATATAATATTCTGTCACGTGGACAATAATTATAATGGGATATGAACACATTCACACCATATATATGGAAAACAAAAAATTAACAAAAGTAAAATAATAATAAAAAACTATATAAAAAAAAAGAAAATAAGCTAAAGATAAGTAAATTAAAAACATTAAAACACAGTCACACCTATATACAATATATACAATCAGGCAGGAAACCCCTAGCCAGGCTTGCCCCTCCAACTAACATGATGAAAAGCAGGACTCCAAGAGATCCCTGCACTACTCTCTCAACTGCGTCACTGTTGCTAAAGCCAGTGGGGATTGAGCAAGAGTGCTTTAGCCGCATACACTCAGGTCTTGAGTTGAAAATCTGGCCATTGCCAGAACTCCAAAATATATACTACAAAAGATCTCTTGGCCACTGCCGCTTCAACCTTCGAGGAGGATTGCAGGGATGATTGGAACTAGATAGGGATTGTGCAAGGAGATTTGGGTGATTTGTAAGGGTGGATTTAGGTGATTCCAAGTTCTGATGGAATTTGGAAAAAAATTCAAGGATAAGATCTAGGAATATTAAGATCATGATGTACGGTTTTGTTGGTTACATAGAACATTGACTATTGTTCGGAGGATTTTGGACTTAAAGGATTGGATGCGTTTAGAAAATTTAGCTGTCCTCTAAAGCTCAAGTTCGTAGGTCCAAATAGATTTTAGGATTTTCTTGTAGATCAGTAATTTGTTTTCAATTGAAAGTTGTGATTTTCTATTAAGTAGTCTGTATAATTAGCCGTATCATCTGTTAAGTTCTTGTCTTTTAAGTCTAGTATGTGGGTTCCAAGTTAGTCATCGGTCTAAGAGAAAGTCAAGATACCAGACTTTGTCTGAAAAAGGAAGCTGCTTGGAATTAAAGTGGACTGTGCCGGAGCCTGAAAGTAATTTAATGTGTTTGCATTTGGATTTGTTTACTTTGATGAGCCATATTGGACGCTTAATCAGAGAGAGGTGTCTTTGTAGATTTAAGGGCGCTATTTCGGGATCTGAGTTGGATGAGGATGATAGGATGGCGGTGTCATCAGTAAATGTTGCCAGGAAGGTATCGGGATGGACAGGGATATCAGCGCTAAAAAGGATATAAAGGATGGGCCCCCAGACACTACCTTGAGGAACACCGGCTTCAGATGGGTAGAAATTGAAAAATTCTGTACCACAGCGAACTTGAAAGATGCGATCAGAGAGGTAGGAGCAGAAGATTTGGTACAAGGACTGGGGTAGATGGGTTTTCAGCTTGGATTGAAGCCCAGCGTGCTACACCCAGTCAAAAGCTTTAGCAATGTCCTGAAATGCACCCGAGCAATATTGCTTGCTTTTCAGTGCTGCAGAAAGATAAACAACCACTTGGATTCCTTGTTGGACTGTGGAGTGTTTTGAACGAAATCCGAACTGATGGGAAGCAAGGTTTTGGGATTCTATAATGGGTAGGATTCTTTTCAGGAAGATCTTTTCAAAGATTTTTGAGAGGATCGGAAGTAGGCTAATTGGTCTGTAGGATGTCGAGGTATTGGGACATTTGCCTGGTTTTGGAAATTGGATAATATTGGAATGTTTCCACAAAAGAGGAAAGTGGGTGGTTCTTATAATGGTATTGTATAAGTAAGTGAGAAATATAACTGCTTTAGGAGGAAGTTGTCGGAGGATTTGAGAGGTAAGGAGGTCGTATCCATGAGATTTAAGGAGAGGAAGTTTTTGTAAGTTATGTTTGACCTCAGAAGGATTAACTGCTTTAGAGGGTAAGGTGAGTGGAATGGATGATGTAAGGAATGCTTCTACTGCTGTGGTATGGGAAGGGTTGGATTCTGGATGAGAGGTGAATGTTCTGGAGAGATGTCTGGCGAATTCCTCAGCTTTGTCTTCAGCAGAAGCTGCCCAGGAGCCATCACATTGATGGACAGGATGAGAAATATGATGGGATTTTTGGATTTGGTTGATGATCTTCCATAGAGAATTGTCATGAACAGAAAGGGAAGTAAGGTAGGAGTTGAAAGATTGGGATTTGAAGGTGGCCAATTCCTGCTTTAATTGTTTACTGTAATAATTATAGGAGCAGTGGTCGATGGGTTGTCTTGAGCGTTGCCATAAAATTCTGACATGGGGTTTGATGTGAATTAGGTCTATCAGGTATTCAGGTAAATTATTTTTCTTAAGAATTTTTGAGGAGAGATTTGGCGAGGAAGCAATCCAGATTGCTTGTTGAATAGTGGTGGTGAAGGAATGTACGGCATTATCAAGGTCTTCTAGGGTTTTCAGGGATATTCTGAGGTCAATTTCATCGGAAAGGATTTGTAGATTTGTAGAATATTAATCATTGTAGTTCAATTGATATTAATTCTTGCAATTTAAAAATTGAGAATAGGTTTTAAGAAATTCTTATTAAGAATTATGCAATATCTATAAAAATGTTATGTTTAAATTAAACAATGCAAGTATAACCATCTGAGTTTTATGACTAGATAATAGATTCTAATGGCTTTTCAATTAATCTTTAGACACAAGAGGTGAAAAAGAAACTCAGACTGATGCTACTTTAATCAATACAAATGATTATGTTATCCAAAGGTTGACAGAACAAAATGTAAGTTTTTTTTTTGTAACCTTAAAGTCTGTTTTATTTATGGAACATTTAAAGTTACTATTTTATAAATGCTTCTAAAATAAATTTTCAGGCTCAATTAAACTCTGAAATCAATTCCCTTAGAAGAATGGTAAGAGATTTAGAGTCACAAGTCGCTTTAAGTCAAGATGAAAATGCAAATCTCTCAACTGGCTTGGAAGCTCTTGATATCCAACACCAGGAAGCCATTGGTAAGGGTCAAATGTTCAAAACAAATGTATATGCTATTATAATTATTTAGTGGATGTTATTTCTTGGGAATAAATCTCATTCATAATTAAAGGTTAAAGTAGTTGCTTATTAACTCAGTAGCTTATTGAGCTTTAGTATATTTTACAGTTAAGAAAAACAAAAATTAAAAAGATATAGTTGTCTTTGAATAAATGTATAGAAACAGAGTTAGGTATGAAAAAAATTAAATCATTTAGTTATTTAATAATAATATTGTTATTATTAAATGTTTATTATATATATTTATGATGAGATTTATTAATGATAATCCCTACATTTTCAGTTTGGGAATCCACATAGGATAAAATTATCTAATTATAATTTTTATGATCATATTTCCTATTACGATTATTTTTTAATCACAGTCCAGAAGGGTAAAAGATAGATATTAATTTTACATTCATGGATTTTGAGATAGACTACATTTTTATACTTATAACTTTCCATACTTCTGGAACCTAAGTTGATTCACTAATTTTGCACCCTTGTTTATTGAAATGCTGTAGAAAGAATTTTAACAGTGAGGGATGAATCTCAAAGACAATTGGAACATATTAGTGAAGAATTGCGTCTCAGGAATGAAGAATTCACAGAGATTGTAGAGCAAAATAATCTGTTGAAAAAAGAGGTTTATATGATTGGCATTACTTTGAATTATAACAGTTTTGCTTTTATATCTTAAAAATAATTAATTCTTTAAAATGTTTCCTTTTATAGGTTGAAAATTTGAATCGGGAACTTTTGGAATGTGAAGCCTTGGCCCAAGAGAATGCTCGGTTAAGAGAGAGAATTTCAGCTGCAGCTGTAACTGAATTACCTCCAATCGAGGAAAATTCAGCCTTAGAAGAACATGTTAGAACTTTGGAATCTGAGGTAAATAATGGTACAGTTACTATCCGAATAATTTAGTGACAACAGTTAACTTTTTTGTATATGTTACATTTATAAAATACCATTATGGCTAAGTAAAGAATCATTAATAAGATTAGTTTTCGCTAAATTACTTTTGTGTATATCACCCTTGGGTTAGTGAAATATTATTCAGCATTTTTTTTTAAATCCTTTTGTTATCCTAAATTGTTATCCTAGCTAGTTCTAGAACAATGGTGTTGCACTTGTACTGTATGTCACTATATGTTTTTTTATTCTTGTGATTGTTTTGATGAAGACTCTTAAAAGATTTTCATATTGTCACAATTCTTCTGTTGTTGTTTCTTTCTTTAGCTAATCTATCTTCTACTAATTTTATATCTTTTAGAAGTAAGTCCTAAAACTAATAGTCTTAAGCGATAGAAAAAGGAACAGGGATAACATGCAATTGTTCTATAGTGAGCACCCCTTTTTTTATTATTTATTATCCAACGATATACTGCAATTTATTTAAATACAAATAAAAGAAAATTAATAATTTTTTTATTAATTTTACTCTGCTTTGGAAAAACAGCAATTTAACCTTTTTATTTTTAGTATAGATGTTAAGATTATTAATGGACTAACTACAATGTGTATGATTTTCATAGGTTATTGCATTAAGAGAATCTCGGGATAATCTTGAAAGAGAAACAAATACCCTCCTTTCCCAAGTCAGGCAGAGAGATGCACAATTAAGACAGGTATTCCTTCACTACCTTCATGCTATAAAAAAATTAATGTAAAATGAAATTCCCAAAATCTATTCCTCATATTTTAGCTAGATGCCAGAATTGAGGAAATCGTCAATGAGAAGGAGATTAAGGAAAGGGAAATGACTCAGATAGTTTTTGAATGCAATTCTCTCCGACAAGAGCTTAAGTCTGCTTTAGAAAAAGTAGACAATTTTGAAAATATGTTGATTCCATTACAAGAAGAAAACAAAGCCTTGAAAGCCGAATTTGATATTGCCAAAAGTGATCTGTTCTCAGCCAGAGATAGCCTAGAGGCTGCAAAAAGAGAAGCTAATTTGTCTAAAGATGAAAGCGAAACATTGAAATCTGAATTAGAATCATTAAAAGAAGAACTTGGAGGTGAAGAAGCAAAAGCTGCTCAAGACAATAAAGAATTATTTGAAGTGAGAAAAAAGTATAAAGCAGCTTCTTATGAAGTTGAGGTATGTAATTTACATTGTTAATAATTGAGTTAATTAATTAACTGTTAATCATAGTCATGTGGTGCAACTAATACCAGTAAAGGGCAATGCTTTAAGTATAAATGTGATTTATATAATATGTTCTATGGAAGGATAATTAGATATTTAAACAAAAAAGAAACAAAAATTATTGATTATTGTTGGAAATATTATATATATCACATCAGCTAACTGATATAAAGATTTATGCATAAAACCTTTACACATTTTGAACAGCTTGAAAGCACCATTTTCATTAAAGGCTCTTTTAAATATATTTTGAATTTCAGGCTCTGCAAGTCAAACTTTTGAATGTTGAAGACGAATATAACAAATCTAAAATCAAATATGAAACAGATAAATCACTTTTTGAATCTGAGCGACAAGTATTACAAAAAGAGCTTGATGTTCTCCGCGATGTTTCCAGAGAATATGGTATTCAAAAGGATATTTTTAGGGAGAAAGAATTGGAACTGAAACGTCAGTTGGAACAATCGGAGGTTGAACTTTGTAGTGTGAAATGTTTACTAGATGAGGAAAAAGAACAAACAGGAAAAGAAATTGAAGGGTTAAAAGAACTGATAAAACAATCCAAAAGAGAAAATGAAGTTTTAAGGAGTAAATTAGACAGCTATAATGAAAATGATTTCAAATTACAAAGGTCAGTTGTAAATATTATTCATACAGGATGATTCATGTTAACTTGCACTGTAGAATAATAAAACTTATCTATGGAATAAACTGTTATAAATTTCTCTCTATCTTTCTGAAATAAGGTTTCTGTCCTCATTTTGATCTGTACTTCTGCACCTCATGAAAGTAAATGAACAACCTATTTCTATCACATTATAAAGATCTAAACCATTTATCCGCTGCTTTTCTGACATCTTTCAAAAATCTATATGTTCCACCATCCTAACTTGTGATGCCTTCAAATCTTACTTTCAAACACGCTTTCTATCTAATCTCTACAACCCTCCAAAAGATTCGATTCCTCTTACCCATCACTTCTGTATTGTTCCATATTCCTTGTCCCACCCTTAACTGCAGTTCCTCTAACATTGGCAAAACAAAGTATCTCCTTTATTTGCATCATTCAGCATTGTTAATTACTTAATCTTGCAACTCTACTGTCTCAAAATTTTCCAAACACAACTTATTCTGAAACCATTCATTTGATTTAGACAAAATTGCTTTCAACCATGACAAACGGCTTTCATATCCAATTAGAATCTCTTCTTCTTAATCTAATGGCCAATAAATAAAACTTATCCCTAGTCTGTTCCTAAACATATATTTTTTCTTCTTATGCATATTGAGATTTAAGGAGCTTCATAGATTTTTAAAGTTCTAAACATTTTTAATTTTACATTTCAGGTGTTTAAATGAACTTGAAAATCTTCAAAAAGAAAATATTAAATTAATGGAATCTTTTGAAGAAACTAATCATAAAAATAAAGCCTTGCTGAATGAAACCTCGAATAGAGAACTTGAACTATCAAAATTAAAAGAGAAATTTGATGCATTTGAAAATAATGAAATCCATTACAAAGAAGTAATTAGTGAACTACAAAGATCTTTGAAAATTACTGAACAGGAATTAAAAAAAAGGAATGATCAAATCATTCTTCTTTCTGCTTCAAATGAAAAAATTCCCCAATTTGATAAAACGACTGAAGTAGAAGATGAAGACAAGTTAGATCTTATACAAGAGAAGGAAAAATTAACTTCTGAAGTAGTTTCATTGTCTGAAAGCAATAAAATTCTTGTTAAAGAAATAGAAAATCTCACAGATCAAATTAATTTATTGAAAGTAGAAAAAGATGGCTTGGAAAAGAAAGCAAATATTTTATCCCACCAGAATGAAGGATTGGCTGACGGAATAAGTCAGTCTATTGAAAAAGAAAAAGAGAGATACTTAAATGAAATTGAATGTGTATCAACAGAAAATGAAGTTTTGCATAAAAAACTGGAAGAACTGAAACAAAAATGTGATACTTATGAAAATGAGAATCTCTCATTAAACAAGAAATTAGTGTGTTCCGAACAAGAAATGGAAAAGTTCCATGAGAATTTGAAACAATTTGGGGGAAGTTTTGAGGGTATTGAAAAATTATCTAGTGAGATTACACAGCTTTCTCTACAGGTAGATCATTTCAAGGATGAGTTGAAGGATGCCTATGAAGAAAAAGTCAGAATTTCTGGAGAACTTTCAGCTGTATTACTTGAAAGAGATCAACTTGTAAATCAAGTTCAACTTCTATGCAAAGAACTCGACAATATGGTCAAACTTAAAGAAGAAATTGTAACCTTAAATCATAATCTACAGGTATAATTGGTAACACCTTTTAAAAATATAAAATATTTTTTTTATTTATTGTCTTTTAAATTATAAAATTTAAGGTTAAATCATCTGAGGTTATATCAATTGATGGAGAATTGAAACGATTACAAGCAGCTTTGAGTAATCAGCTAGTCAACAATGAAGTCTTACACAAAGAGAATACTACTTTAAAAGAAAGATGTGACAGTATATTTGTTGAAATGCAGGTAAATATATCCATTAATCTTGGCAAGTAAACATATTATTCTTAATAATCTCTTTATAATTTGTAATTTTTTTTTTTAAAGAATAAAATGTCGTACATCGAAGAAGTCGAAAAGATTAAAAATAAAGAGGTAGATGGTTTAAACCAAGAAATTGAGAATCTAAAAACTCAGCTTGAGTTTGCTTCGCAACTTCTTCAGGATGTTGAAAGGCAGGAAGGAGAGGGACAGCCCTCAGGAGAATCAAATTCGCAGGTTATTTAACAGTTTTTTTACGTTAAGAACTAACTTATATTAACATTATATGTTTAATTCAAATTAATAATTATGGATGTATTGATGATCGTTGATGAAATCTAGGAAGTGACAGTTAGGGGTGCAGTCAGAAATAAGATTCATATAAATATTTTTCTATTATACTATTTTATGTGTAGCGTCATTTCAGGCTATAAAGGACTTAGTCATTCAAATGCAAAAAGGGTTTAGTATATTAGTTTCTTACTTCCCTCATGACCTTATCTCACTGAACTGTTTTTAAATTGAGTCCCTGAAAAGGACCTACATCTTAGACATTATTTATTGTTTGTCTTCTTATTGACTCCAGCCCATTCACATACTGAATTAATAATTATTCTATGTCATTAAGACAATTATGGAGCATTGAGGCACAGATTGGATTCAAACCTCCCTATTGTTGACTCAGCCTCAATGAGCCTAACCTTAATGAGAATAAGCTTTTCAATTAAAAAAAAACTACAGTTAAGATTTTTTGGAATTATATATGCATATTGAATACTTAGTAGTTGACCGTTGTATTATCAAGGAAGAAGATGGTCCGAGGTGGCAGTCATAAATAGACTAAATAGTGGAAAAACTATTTTATTAAAAGCCAACGTTTTGACCCGACTTTGCAGGTCTTCTTCAGGGAGGTGTGTTCAGCAAGGAGTTTCACTTAGAACTGGGTTTAGGAACTTGGTATTTCTGACACACCTCCCTGAAAAAGACCTGCAAAGTCGGGTCAAAACGTTGGCTTTTAATAAAATAGTTTTGCGACTATTTAGTCTATTTATGACCGCCACCCCAGGCCATCCCCCTCCGGAATTATATATGATTAAGTGTAAGAAAATCTATCTTTTAAGAATTTGGTGATGAAATGTTGTCTCTTTCAGATATGTTATTTAACATTATACATATACAAAAATATAAATTAGTTTTTTTTTAATTATATGTGGCTGAGAGTACCTTTTAAAATTTATATGATGAAATTTTGTCTTTTTCAGATTTGTTATAGAACAGTATAGATATATAAAACTATAAGGTATATCATCGGTTTATTGCAAAAACTTAATTAAATTAAACATTGATTTATTTTCAGAAAACTAGTCCTGAACTTCAAGAAGAGTTGACAAGGCTTTCTGCTGCATTACTCAAAGAACAAACTGATTGCAAGCTCATAAAAAACCAGGTATTCACAACTAATATATATTTATCTTTTAAAAAGAATGCTTTTTTTTTAACAGGAAATGTGGATATTTATGGGACTTGAATATGTTGGCTTATCTTATAATTACTACCTGTACACAAGCTATAACTTAAAAATTCATTAATAATTTATAAATTTAATATCATTGACTGTATGTATTGTATTTATTTTTTTAAACTTGATACACAAGTATATGTAATATTCTGTAATGCACTTTAATTTGTTTTTATGTTGTGTTTACAGTTAAATTGAAACAATATTCTAAAATTTAATGCATGGCTTTAAAAAAAATAAAAGTTGTCCCATATAATAAAAATAAGAAAAAATAAATTATGCCGTGAACTGATTTAGAGTTGAATTGTTTTCTTTTACTATGACGAGATATGTATTTTGTACATCTCAGAGTAACAGCCTTGTATATATATATATATATATATATATATATATATATATATATATAAAACTATTATTTTTATGTTCTCTATGGTTTCTAAGTTATCTAATGGCTTCTCTATGAAACTGGAAGCTAGATCTCCATGAGAAAGAAAATTGTTTCTGAAAAGTCAGTGACAGCTTAAGGAATTTTCTGTGGTGAGGAGGGGCACTTGTGTTCCAAATGATTCCATATACAAAACTTATTCAAAAAAACCTACAGACATATATGAATAGGAAATTAGTTATTAGATCATATTAACAGCAAGATACAATCTCTTGTTGAAACTTTGCCACTTGCAAAAAATGAGAAGCCATGATGACCAAGGATGTTCCATTGTTGTCCACTTTAACATTGTGTGTCTAGCAGTGCCCGTTTGACTCCTCCTGTCTAGGGGAATTGAAATTCAATCCATACTGGACCCACGCAATGAATCTCGACCTTTCCACTCTGATAAGAATAGGTTCATCAACTCCTCCTCTCCCTTTCCAAAAGCAAGAAATGGTGAGGTACAAATTACAAAAAAATGCTATCACTACTCTTGTTGAAATGGCTATTCTTGAAATACTTTTATCACAGGGGATAGTGGAGATCTATGCTGAAAGTTATGGAGACTTTCAGAAATCATCTAATTTTTGATTTTTTTTACTCTTAAGGTAATTTTTTACTGCAGAACTGATTGCTGATGTGACGAAGATCACTATGATATAATGGAGAGTTTTAAAAACATGAATATATAATATTTATTTACTTATAATTAATAATTATACTTATTATTTGGATATAATAATCTTGTGTATAGTTTTAAATATTTGTTTTCTTTTTTTCTAGTTAGAGGACACTAAAGAAAAACTAGAGAAAGCAGAAAACCAACTAAAGACATTAAAAAATCATCTTGTAAATGTCGAAGACAGTTATATTTCTGAATTATCCGCAGCAGAGGAAAAGCTCAAGGAAACACAGGCCATGCTTCAAGCTGCAGAAGAAAGAGCCAGAACTTCTTCAACTGCGTACACTTCAGCTAGGTGATTAATTATTACTATTATTATTAACTGTTTTCTTTTCTACCACTGATTGGTGTGAGGATCCTTCTTATAGAGCTGAACCCACAACTCTCGATCCTGTTCCAGCTTCCACCTTCTGTCCATATCTCTTCTGTCAAAGGCCTCTTTGACAAATTCCTCTTAAGTCTTCCTGGGCCCTTTCTGAGTGAGGCCTTCTTCTATCAAGGCTACACTCAAAGCAACCCTGGCCACATGGTTCTTGGCCATCCATGAGACATGACCAAACCACCTCAAACTATTTTCTTTAATTACTGTGTCACCTGTTCTTATTGTGGAGTTTCCTATGCAATCTGTCTTCGTTTTTCCCTCATATATAAGATTAATCTATAAAAACAATCTACAAAAAAGTTGTCAAATTTTACTTTTCAGTATACGGTCTAATCAGCAAGTGGAGGCTCTGAGGGAACAAGTTAGGCTTCTGACCGAACACAAAGAAAAACTTGAAGCTGAGGTGTCAAATGCTGAAGATGCCGTTATGAAGCAGTCAGCTACAGTCACGAGGCTTCAAGCTGTTCTCCACCAATTCCAAAGGGGTAAGACCTTTCTAATTTATTTTACTTGATTTGCCTAACCATTAATTTTTAACTTACTAAAAAAAATATATGTATAAATTTATTTTTTACCTTTAACTATTGTTGAGTTAAAATTTTTTGATTATAAAAATTGGAACTAATGAATATTTACTTTTTAATAGCTTATTTTTTTATTTTTCAGACAAACAGCAGGATATTGAATTTGAAACAGAAAGAATCAGGAGGGATTTAGAACTTAGCAAGAAAATTACCGAAGAGCGTATCCAAGAAATAAAAAAATTACAGGTAAAATAAGCTCATCTAAAATTTATTTTTATTAGAGACATTATTAATCATTAACAGACTCAAATGTAATATTAAAAAAAAAAAAAAAATTAAATTGCACTAATTCCAGAAGACATTTCCAAAACAAAAATAAGTTCACTAGATTTTTTTTCAAGTTATGTAAGATAATGTCTTCTTAATATAATTAAATCATAAAAAAAAACTCAGGTCAGATAGGTTTTCGTTATTTCATTTTCTCAGGAGCAGTTAAATGAGGCGAAGATGGGCCTTGTTGCTGGACAAAGATTAAGCGAGGAACTTGCCAAACAACAGGAGCTGGTAGCTCAATCAAAAGCACAAGGTTAGAAAAGCTTTCAGTTTTATATTTTTGTATTATTAGCTTTTTATAAACTTGTTTTTGTCAATAGAAAAATGCTTTCTTCAGAATTCTAGCCATTAGTTACATAGTTACATATTAAAAATAAATGTATGTTAGTGAGAAAAATTAATCAGAGAAAAACCGATGTTTTTTTTTTTTTAGAAAATCATATATGTGTATTCATCTTCAATTATTTGTAATCAGTAAGTTCAGACCACTTCACACATGCGGGTTACATTCATGATCTTACCGCTTCATATGAAAAATTAGTGTAATGAATGATATAATTTTTTTTTCACAATTACATAATTATAAGAAAAACAGTGCAAGATATGTTTTGAAATTAATTCTAACTAAGAAATTTACATTCTTATTAAAATATCTTTTTTTTTTTTTTAATTTTGAAATTTTCTAGTTATACAAAAGTTATCTGTTGAATCTTACTGTTCCAAAAATATAATTATTTTTTATGATCATATGGAATGGCTAAAATAATTCATTAAAAATACAACAACCATCTAACTACTGTTTCTTCTTACTAAAATAGTGTATCTTGAGGTTATCTACAGTTTCAGAACATTTTGATAATTCTCAGAACAATTTTAGAGCATGTTTAACCCTGGCAGTATGTTCCTTTTATCCTTTACTACACATAGTAGCTTTGTTTTATTATGACCTCTGAAAGCCATTTAGCTTAGGAGCATCAGAAGGTTGTTCATTGTCATATGCATGATCAATCACCCATATGGGAGCTAAAAGGACAATTGCACTTCTCAAGTTTAATTATAATGCTACCAAATGCATTTTTCACCTTTAAAATTGTCATGAATATCTTGGAAATAAAACATTTCAAACAAAATTAATTTTAAATAATAATGCTCTTATCATAATATGTTGTTTTTAGAAACTTTGACTGAGTGTTATACTTATGCATTTATAGTGCTTGAAATCTGTCCAAACCAAGAAATTATATGTTTATTGTTAATCTATCCATTTTTATTTATTATTTCAACTTCTTTTTTATGTTTAGTTAGTATAATTCTCCTTTTGATGCATATTTACTTTTATATAAATATGGTATAAAACTTATACCAAAGGTGAATTGATTTTGAAATTTTATTTCTGATTTGCTACAAAAAAGTTAATCTAAAACATTGCATTTCACTCAACTTGACTTTAGTTTTTTGATATTTTATTAAGTATTACTAGAATTATCAAAGAATAACTTTTTTGATGAAAGCAATAATCAAACATTTTTTCATATTAATTAATTGTCATAAAATTGCATTTTTGGATCACCTGTTGGTATTATTTGTTTTTGTTTATATTTGTATCTGCATGTATTTTTTTTTTTTCATTTTTATACCATGGCTTGTACTTCATGTTAACTTTGTTTTTATCAATAAGTTATTATTGTTTAATTTGTTTCACTATATATTTTAGTTACATTACTTATCTGATAGAATTCTGGAATTGATTTATGCTTTTGTGATAGAATAGAAAGCTTCTACTTTAGAAAAAAATTAACTTCATTTTCATGCATTGAAAAATTAGATTATTATTGTTTTTAAAAAAGATTTCAATATTCATTATTATAGCATTATAAATATTTTTTTTTAAATATTACCCAGTTTCTATTGTATATTTCTTTAAAATTCTAACAGATAATGATTTATTATTAGATTTAAATCTTTTGATTTTTAGTTTATTCATTCATGTAATTTGAAGGTATGAAATTGTAAATGATTCCTGATTATTTATTTTTTGTAAAATTATTACTTTTTTATTGCATGAAATGCAAACTTAGTCAAAATAGAAAATATGCCTGTATTATTTTAGAGGATCCATACTACTTGCCGGCTGCCAGTCAAATATCAGCTGGTAATTCTGAGCCTGCATGAGTTCTGCCCAGGTTGCTTGCTGGTATGAGGCTGGCTGTCCTGCTTTCCTTCGATTGCTGTATTCTTCACATCTCAAAACCTTCTCATCATTTTATTTTGTCCCTCTATCATTTAATTATTATTATATTCTCAAATCTGAAGCAACTTATCTTTTACATCTACGAACCATCAAACAGATTGAGAACCATTCTCATGGGCATAATTTGCTTTATTTGTCATTCTCTCAATGAAAATATACTCAGTGAAACTTTTAATATCAGACAATACTTTTTCATGGATAATGTTATGAATTCCTGGTAAAAAAAAAGAAGAAAATTTTATAAAATGTGATTTCAATTTCCCTGTTTTCCAGTCAACTTATTTGCCCTAATTTTCCGTGCCAATTTTTTTGTTTACTATTTCTTTTTTATTCTTATGATATTTGTATAATAAAATATTTTAAGCTTTAGTGAAAGAATAAATTTAAAACTATACAAAATTTAGTTTATAAAATGGTTGTGAAAAGATTTTAAATTCAGGAATATCAAGTTGTTAATATTTAATGGAAAAAAAAACAAGAAATTTTAAAGTGATTTGTTTTGTAGTGCTAAAGTAGGGGTTCCCAAATTGTATGCCTAGGCGAAAGAGGCCAATGCATAGTCAGGAATATTGTGGGAATAATATTTAGTTTCAATGTTTGATAATTTAGATCAAAATAATCAATTTTCGGTAAATATAAATTATAATAATTTATCTTTTTAGTAGAAAAATTGATATCAATATATTGATATTTAAGCTTATGTTTGGACAAAATATAATTTTTGATTTATATGGATTGCACTAGAAATTGGTTAAGATTCTATTAGATCTACCGTTTTAAGGATAACTGCAAACAATTTTATTTTTACTCTGGCAAGGATGCTACGAAGTTTTTGTTAACCTGAAAATGGTACTAAAGGTTATACATTTTATTAAAAATTTTCAAGTTGGACATATTTCCAAATTTTGATTTTGGCTATTTCTCGGATTAATGATCTTGAATTACAATATCAGATTGAAAATGAGATAAAAAAAATGATCAAACCGATCAAATAGAAGAATCAAGTAAAGATAAGAATTTATGTGTATTTCGTAAAAAGATGTTTTTCTTGGTTGAAAATTGACTTTGAAAGGGGAACAAATTTTGTTGTAGTGTCAAATTATGTTCAGATCTGAAACATGAGCGTTGAAGGCATTAAGGCGTACCAATGCATTGTACTCTTTATTAACAGAAGCGGATGTTGTTGGAAGGCTTCAATGGGCATGCCATGTGGCCAGGATGAATGTCTATGAGATTCCAAGGGAACTCCTCAATACAAAATTGCATATAGCACAACCGAGAGACCATCTTAAATTGCGATGAGCTGATGCAAAAGAAGATTTGAGAAACTTGCTTGGTGTTAAAAGCTACTGGACAACTGCACATAATCCACAAAACTTGAGAACGATACATGAAGCCGGGATCCAGTGATCAGTTGTAGTGCCAGTGCCACTTGATGATTACGGTGATCAAATTACTATTCTCAATACAGTATTATAATTATTGCAGTTAAGAAATATTAAGTTGCAACTAACCAATGTATAATCTATGCGTAATTCGTTACAGAACTACCTTCCAATTGTATTTTGTAAAACCTAGATTTTTCAATTAGTTTACATAAACAAAATCTAGTAGCTTTTAAAACTACCCAAGTTAGGTTATGATTTATAGAGTGCATTTGTCATTTGATTATGCTTTTCAGTCTGATATCTGATGAAAGCTCAACTGTTTTCAATATTTTATTTTTATTTTATTACAGTATAAAATAAATTCAAATTTATTTATTTAAAAAATAAGTTGCTTCATGAATGCACTTTATTGATAAAAGCATTCTTTAATGGGACCCTTAGTTGAATCCTGAGAGGGTCGGTGTAATCTCATGCGGTAACTGTGAGAGGAAATTGTAAGTCTCAGACTACCGCATGGGCCTTCATTGACTCACTCAATAACTGCATTGCTGCACCTCGTTCATTCAAGATTTGTTGTTCCTTCTGTCTAAGTGAAAATTAGATTAGTTCTAGCTGGCTTTGTAAAGTTTATCATAGAGATTTATTCTATAGCAAACTCCTTTAATGACTTATCTTTTCTATAACGATTCCCTTTGATATAATGGAGCAAAAAAAAAGTGATACCAAAATAAAAAATTGTTTCCTTAAACCCCTAACACATAAGTAAATAAAAAACATTTCGCCAATTCAGCCAACAGGACACAAAAACCCAAGATTATACAGACTGAGGCAATAGAATAAATACATCTCATATTAACAAAATAACAAAGATTCATCAGCCCAGCTCATCACTTTAAGACAAGTCAACACGTATTTTAAAGTATCATAAAGTTAGTTATTTACTGATGTTTTAGAGACTTAAGGTTTTATTTTTGCAATCTTCCAATTATATTCTAACAGTAGCCTTTGGATTAAACAAATTCATTGAATTTGCTTTACAATCGCAATTGATGTTCATTAAAATTAAAACCTATTAAATATAAAACAATTGCATTTATTCAGGTATCAGATTATCATTCTAATTATAGCCTAAATTAACTAGGATTGTATTAATAAAGTAATAATATTGAATAAAGATTTATATTGATAAAAAAAAATTGAACCTTCTAATTAATTATTTATGCTTGTAATTTCTTCTCTTCTCATTTCAAACTCTTCAGAATTTTACCTCATTAGCAAGATGGTAACTTTGTAACACAAAATTTAAATGCTAAGATAGAATTTATGAAATCTGTTTAATTTAATCCATATGGTTATTGCAGAAAAGACATGTTGAAAGACATGTTCTTGTTTCTGCTCTATGGTTCCATTACTCATTTGTTTCTATAATTGCAACTATGCAAATAATGATTTAAAAGTTAAAGTATTACTTCTGATATAAAGAACCTTTATTTTATTAAACTTGCAAAACACGAAAAATAAATGTTAATTGATTCAATATTAAAACAGTGGACGGTGAACATTATTTAATTTTTGTTTTTTATTCTATGTATTTTGAAACATAAAACTTCAAAT